AATTTTAAAAAATAAAAATTTACCACAGTAAATGATATATTGGCTTAATCCTTTTCAAACTGTCCCATCACTTTAAGCACAATTGTCTCACCGTTTTTGTCCCTTTCTGAAACAGTTCTAGAAGTCTTGTCTTTGGTTGTGCTGCCACAACTGCCTCAATGTCCTGAGGCAATTCAATGCAGCTACCTTTCCTGATCATTTTGACTTTGAGGAAGAGCCAGAAGTCACACTATGCCAGGTCCAGGGAGTAAATAAGGTGAACAGGCACACACTGTAATGTTTTTATGAGCCTGCCTTTCTGTTGGGTGGTACTCAGAAGCAACATGTTTTTTATCTTGTCTCATAAAGCCAACCCCAAAAGAGGACATCTAGAACTGCTTCAGAAAGTGGCAAGACTGGGGCTGGGGATTTAGCTCAGCGGCACAGCACCTGCCTGGCAAGCGCAAGGTTGTGAGTTCGATTCCCGATGCTGGAAAAACAAACAAACAAAAAAAAAGAAAATGGCAAGACTGATGGGATAAGTACCTTCAAAGCAAGGTAGTACATTCTGAAGTGGATTAATGAAAATTGTAATGAATGTTTTCTACTTCTACTGTAATGAATGTTTTATTGAAGCATTTACTATATATTTTCATCATGTCTTATACAGTATATGAATGGCAAACAAACACATGAAAAGAGGTTCAACATCTTCAGTCATTACAGAAGTGTAAAACCACAAGAAATGCTACTTCCTACCCATTAGAATTCCTAATATGAAAAAACTTACCCTGAATTGTCAGTAAGAAGCCCTCATAAACTATCAGTGGGAATGAAAAAGGGACAATCACTTTGGCAAACAGTTTGGCAGTGTCTTAAGAAGTTAAACACATACCTACTAGGTAATCCAGCCATCCCTCTCTCAGGTATGTCAAAAGACAAAATTACAATAGATGTAATTTAAATTTAAATGCTGGATTTATTTGTGATCCTAGAATCAAGCAATGCCTCATTCCTTCAAATATAGTAAGTATTCTGATGAGCTGGCAGAGGAGGCTGATTTTATAGAGAGGGAAGGCTGAGGAATGCAGAAACAGAGAACAAAAGCAGATTGGTCGTGTCTTAATTACTTTTCTCACTGCTGAAACAAAATACTCAACACCACAAGTTAAAGGAGGAAAGGTTTATTACATCTCAAAATTTGTAAAGGTTTCAGTCCATAGTCAGCTCACTCTGAGGCAAGGAGGCATGGTAGAGGGGCATCATAGAAAAAAAATAGTCCATGGCGAGCAAGCAGGAGACAGCAAAGCAACAAGCAAAAGAAACCTCTCCCTTTTATCCCTTCCAGGGTACCCGCATTTTGGATGGTGCCACCCACACCCAGTGTGGACCTTTCCACCATCCACTCCCAGAACTATGCTAAACCAAGCAGTAGACTAATTAAGTAATCATACAACCTTAATCCCAGCATCACACCCTTCATCCTAACATTACACACCCTAAAGCCAGCCACCTCTGAAAAACCCCACCTATGATGGCCCTAAGGCTTTTGGGAAACATCTAGATATAAACCCTTACAGGCTGTTTTAAAGTCACTCTCCTTGAAAAAACTAAAACAGAGGAAAGTCCCTTATTGTGCCAGCAAGGACGTGTTTGGGGATTGGCTATTACCTCTCCTTTTCCTGGATTCTTGGAAGGTCAGAAGAATTAGTTTTAGCTAGGTGACCAGAACTTTAGCATGAAGGACTCCATTTTGATTTGGCCAGTTAGGTCTAGTCATGGAGCTAGCTTAGTCCAAACCAATAGCTTTCTGTACATTTTACTTAACAGTTTCTCCCTTTTGGTCAGGCTTTTGCAGAAGTGATCAAAATTTAGGGCACTACACCAATCTCAGTTACTGTCATTTTGGGTTTCTGGTCTCAGCATATCATTCATAGGTTTGAATTTTTGTCAATGCAGCTAAAGATAAACCATTTGACATTTGACAGATGGCTTCATATAAACGTCTAAAACTTTTGAAATAATATAGCACACCAAGGGTTTTATTTTTATGACTATGTGAAAGATAATACCAAGAGATCAGAATATGCCCTTTGGCCAGGGTCCCCATGAAACAAACCAACTAAATTTAAATAGATCAAATAACGAACCAGGTGAGGCATCTACCCATTTAACCAAGTAGTCTGCTGATATTTGCAACTGAGTCTCTATAACACCGAAATTATGCATCCTTATACAATAAGAAGCATCAGTAACTACACAGATTTCTCTCTTTATTCAGCTCGTAGGTTATATAGTGTGCCATGGCTGGGTTAGGTTAAAGTAGGTAAGAGAACACACAGGTCTAGAAGTCTGACTCTATCTTACAAAGGAGCCACAGGTGCAATTTGAACAGCAGTTTCATATCCATCATTTCATCAAATTACACGCAAAAGCTACTGCTTATGAAATTCGAACTCCAGCATTGTTCTGACAAGCAAAAGAGGTAGGCACAAGCAGGAAAACTCAGAAGTAGAGCTTCATTATGATGGGGAGCTTGTTCTGATATTTTGGAAAAGCTGTCCACAGCATGCAGTTGTCACCTTCTTATCCTGGTTTGCAGTCTGAATGTCTCTGGCTATGGCATCAGGGATTCTGGTGAACTCTCTGTGTGGCCTATGTATCAGTCATGAAACTGGTCCTGTGAAATTTATATCAAGTTGTCCAGCTTTATCTCATAGAGCTTCAGAGACAGCAGTTTGTGTCTTAGTGATTACAGTGGAAAAATTTGGATTGCAGGAATCTAGAAGAATATAGGTAGATAATAAAAACTCAAAAATAAGAACAGCTGGTAAATACCAAATTTACTATAACTTTTCTTCTGAAACATAAATTTTGTCTGTACTACATCCCTATTTCTACCAAAGGTAGACCAAGACTAATTTGTTTGCAAAATAAGTTTAATCTCATTAAACATGGCCTGATTACTTACTAAGTAGAATAACAACTGTGCTTGACCAGGTAAGCTCCTTTTAAATTTGCATTGCTAGAACTTTGATAAAGAATCTCAGGTTAGACTTTTAAAAACCTCTTAAGGCTAGGAGCCCAAAACAAGGCAGATTTCAGACTTTGCCTGTAGTATCTATAAGTTCATTCTAACCACTTTCTCAAATATAGCATCCCACACAAATCTTGGTAATATTTCCAGTAATTCCAATTGTATCTTACAGTGAGAGCAGATTCTTACAAACTTAAGCAAATAACTATAGTGTCTTAAAAACAAGAATACCCACAAATATTGTATAAATTCTAGAAAAATTGGGTTGAGGATAAAAGTAAGTTTTTTCCACAAGATTATATTTTACCAAATTTATGTAAACTTTTGATAGTTTTTTAAAAGTGTTTTCTAAAGTCTAGATAGCAAAATGTTAAAATACCCAGCTATGATTCAAATTTTAAAAGTCATAAAAACCCTCATTTTTTTTTATCAGTTCATTTTATTTGTTCATTCTTGTTCTGCTTGATCTTGGTTAGCAGTTTCACAAAGTAACAGTTTATTTATTATGAAGTTCTTAGCTAATCCTAGAAGTTCTTAGCTAGAAGTTCTTAGCTAGTCCAATGGTATGATCTTAAAGTTATCAGAAACCTGCACTTACCATGCACCTTTTACATGAAACTCCTTGAAAACACAACACCTTAGGATTATTTTATTATCAGCAAAAGTGCTTTTAAAAAAAGCATAAGGCTAATGAAATTAGCTGCAGACAAGACTTCAAAAATGGCATGGTTAAAGATCTGATGAGAATGCATATAACTAACAATGGGTGAGGAACTGATTATTTATGTGGCATATAATACATTCATATAATAACAACACTTATGACATCAGATTTCTAGGAATTTCATATAGTTTCTGGAGGGCATATTAATAACACATCCATACAAAGGCTAAACATTTCTTATTATGTTAAATAATTTAATATATCAAATAAGCCTATACATCCAGAGGACCTCTTAAACTAGTCCAAAGTTAGTTCAAGGGTTAGACAAAAATCTTAATTCAGAATGAGAGATATTTGTCCAAAATCTCAAGGGCTTAAAACACTTGATCAAAATAGATTCAAAAATCATTGTGAAACAAAACTGACAAAAGATTTTAAAAGCAAATACAGAAAAAGTACCATAGTTGTAGAAACACTGTGGTTCTTTTAACTTTGAGAAGACTAATTTTTCTTAAATAATTAAAGACCTAATAAAAAACAGCACAAAATATAGGGAATTATCCTGATAAAACACAAAATCTTTGCTTCCTAGACCAGTTACCTAAAAGGTAAAGAAAAACTTTTCACTATTTCCTATTAAGAGCAGATCAATAGTCCAAGAAAATCTTACTTTAATAGAATAGAAAAAAATTCTACCTCTGTATTACTGTGCTTTTGATACTAATGCTCAATTTTTATAAAAACATAAATAAGTCCCTTCCAATTTTAGCCAGCTGAGCATATTTAAAATTTCTTTCACAATATTTATCTCATATAAAACTTCTACACTTTTTTCATACTATTTCAGTTGTTTGTCCTATACTTCCCCTTTTTATGCTCATTTTAATTATCATACATTGAATAGAATTTGTTTTAACTCTCAGTAGCTGTTCCACTTTATTTTTTGTTGCTCTAGCAAAATATCCAGAGCTAGGTGCTTTATAAAGGAAAGAGATTTATTTAACTTGTAGTTGTAGAGACTGAAAGTCCAAGGTTGGGCAGCCTCACCTGTTTGGTCTGTGGTGAGACCTTTGGGTGGATGGAATCACAGCAGTGGGAGCACACGCAAGTGAGAGTACAGTGTGGTGCAGGAAGCTTGAGAGTGGGGAGGAGCCAGTCTTGCTCTTTGTACTACTTGGTCTTATAGAGTTAGCTCTCTCCTCAAAACCAGCATCCATCCATTCCGAGGTCAGGGTCCCATCACCCATTACCTGGCATGGAGATTCCATGTCTCAAGGGCTCCACCCCTGCGTACCGTCACACAGAGGCTCAAGCTTCCAGCGTATACAAATCTTTGGTGGACAAATCACATCCAAACCAGAGCAGTAGCCAGAATTTCCAGTGAAAACATAGGAAGTAGAAAATTTGGGATGACTGCATACGAACATTTTATGAATATAAATTCAAAAACTTCTAAAATCTGTGCTTTCCCTGAAAATAGAACAATTTCTCCATGTTTACTAGTGGACCCTAATATATTCAGCTTCTTTATACACATAACAAGATGCTGAAAGAAATAAACGTGAATAGTTTAAATATTCAGCAATTATTATTTTAGCTTATTTAGACATGATCTAAGTTTTTAATGACTATCCTTTTGTTGTTGTTGTTGTTGAGACAGGGTCACTATGCAGCCAGGCCAGGATAAACTTGCTATGTTAGCCAGCTGGCCTTGAACTCACACCCCTGCCTCAGCTTCCTGGGTGCTGGGATTTCAAGCATAGGCCCCTGAGTTCAACTTTCATCATTTAATTTAAATTAGCAAAATTCTTGTGTGTAGTTATCAGAGACTTGGGAAACTTTGAGGTAAATACATTATTGTTACAATGCTCATTTATAAAACTTTCATCACATAAACATTTTGCTTAATTTACTAATTTGTAACAATCATGCTTGGGTTACTCATGAAAATTTTGTAAGACCTTAGACAAAGCTATCCATTGTCTCAAGTATTTCCCTATTAGCCATTTTTACAGAATGTCAGGCAGTCATCACCAAAGCAAGAAGCCTGAAGTTTAGTGTACAGGGGAAGTTTTTTGTTGTTTTTATTTTGCTTTGCTTCTCAGGAGACACAGCTGTGTTTCACTAAATGAATAATATTAAAACTAGTCTTAGTTATCAAAGATTTGTCCAAGTCACATGAACTTGTAAAGCATTGCGTTGGTTCATCCAGCTATAGGTGTGCTTATTTATTTCTAAGCCAATTGAAATAAAACCTTTACTGATATTTTTAGAAAGATCTTTAAGATGTTTTATTTGATCAATTTTCTTTTTTTCTTTTAGAGATAATTAAAAAATAAAAATGATACAGAATTTCAAAACAAGATGAATTGCATATTGTTATCTTCAAAGTAGTTGCTCAGGTTACCAGATACAGGCATGTAAGATTGATCAAACAATACGAACACTAACTGTTTCTTTCAATGAATTAATACAAATTAGTAGTGCAATTATCTTAGCTATCAAATAGTCAAAACATTGAACAAGAATGAAAATAGGAGGGCAGAGCATAGAGGCACCAGGAGTTTGAGAGGGATTTCACTCAACTGAGAGGTTCCCATGGGAAAAACAGGATCCAGTAGAGGGAACAGAGGGAACTGTTCCCAAATTAAACTGACTCCTGACCATAGGCCGCCTTTTAAAAATCCTGTCAGGATTCGGGGAACAGCATAGTGGTAGAGCACTTACCTGACATGCACAAGGTTCTAAGTTTAATCCTCAGCTCTGAAAAAAAAAAAGTCTTTAAAATAGTTTATTATCAAGTTTCATCCAGACAAACCTCAAATATTCCTAGAAGTATTGAGCTCTTCTTTTCTCTGCTATCACCACCCCCTGGTTCTTAATATTGGTTCCATTTTTACTTAGGAGAAGTAAAAATGTTGAACAAATAAAAAAATCCCTACCATGCTTCAAATACAAAAGTACACTTGACAGGTATACTTACTTAACAAGACTGAAATTAATGAGTTCCAAACAGGAAGAAAAAAGATACAGCCTTTTTACAATACAGAGCCGTTCCCAAAAACAGACAAAAGAAAGACAGACTTAGCAGGAGGCAGCATGCTGGACGGAAGGAAACAGGGTACCATCCACCTTCCTCTCTGGCCATATTTCTGAGGCTCCCAGTTTTTTGTTTGGCTGTTGCACATGGAAGCCTGATAAAACCTGAGGGCCTCCAACAGATGGAAAATCAGGCCAACAAACATTTAAACACTTTTAAAACATCAAGACAAAAAAAGAGAGACAGAGAAAGCGTGTCCATGTGGGAAAGGGCCAATCTTAAAGTGTAGTGTTGTTCATCTGGAGCATTCCATATAGCGGCTATCATAATTTTAAGCACTCTTAAGATTTTGTCCTTTTTCTAATTATTTGCAGCTCCCAAGGCAAATTACTTATACATGCAAAAAGCAGTCATAGCCAAGAGTTAGAGTGTTTAGTTCTTTAGAAATGAGGGATCCCAACTTGGGGGCACACATCAGCACTTAGAAGGCTGAGACAGGAGAATCACAAATTTGAGGCCAGCCTGGGCTACATAGCAAGATTCTCTCATTTAAAAAAAGAGAATGAAGAGAGAAGAAAGAGAAACAAACAAAGAAAGAAATGAATGAAAGAAAGAGAAGGAAAGAGAATGAAAGGAAAATAAGAGGAAAAAAAAGACATTAAGGATCCCATTTTTATTTGAATTTTAGGGCTCTTTGGAGGCTGGTGGGTGACCTAATATCGACTAGCCCATTCTGTCACCAGCTGAGCCCAGCATAGTTGTCTTATTTTTTGGTGATGGGTGCTCTGTTGGTTCCCAAGTACTCAAACCATAACTATCACACTGTGGCCATGGCTTTGTGATCCCCTTTATAAATCTAGACAATGATTTCTCAGTCTCTGTCTGACCTAGTCAGGCACCTGAGGCTTCCCTTACCTAAGAGTTTTTGGAAAAGGAATGAAAAAGGTAGACCCCAAACACCTGTGAATACCCAAACCAGGAATTTGTGCTCTACGGTAAAATCATTTACTGCAACCACTACCAGTTACCTTTAAAATTGTAGCCCTTGCCACTGACCCTGTAGCCACCCCAAACTCAAGAGGTCAAGCACCCTCTCCAACGACAGGCTAACCCTGAATTCAAAATCCAAAGAGACCAGAGGGTTCAACGCAAACAGAGCAGAGTCCAGGCAAAAAAAATTTACTTCCCTCTGGGGTCCACGAGGAAGATGGGGACCTCAGAGGGGGAAATCATCACCTCTCCTAATGTTCCTCAAGGAGACTCCAGTGTCATCAGTTGTTATCCTTTAAATGTAAACAAATTTAAAGATCTTCATTGGCTTAATTTGTGATTCTAGAATCAGGCAACACCTTGTTCCATCAAATAGAACAAGCCTTCTTTTGAGCTGAGCAGAGAGGAGGTTTTACTAAGAAGGTTGAGAAAAGCTGGAGCAGAGAACAAAACCAGATTAGCTTTTTCGCAGTCATTTTCCTGGTATAGGTTAAAGCAGAAAGAACAGCTTTATTATGCTACCTAAAACTCACTAGTTTGGGATTTGGCTAAAATGGTTTACTTTCCTGATTTCTCAAAAAGTTAGACAAAAAAACTCAGTTTTGGCTTGGTAACCACAAATTCAACGCGAGGTACTCCACTTAGGCTTAGCCGGTTGTGCCTGATGCAGGGACTCAGCCCATAGCCTCCTGTACATGCTGTTTAATAGGTATTTTCTCAAGAAATATGAAAACAAATTTATACAAAGACTTTCACAAGAATTTTCATAGCAGCTTTGTTTGGAATAGTCCCAAACTGAAAACAATCCAAACATTCATTAAATAGGGAATGGATAAATAAACCATGGTAAATCCATACAATGGAATACTACTCAGTAACAGAAACAAATGAACTGTTGATCCACATGATGACATGGATGATTTGCCTAGGCTGAGTGAACATGCCAGATAGAAAAGAATACTTACTTTATGGTTCCATTTATGGGCAAGAAGGTGGAGAAGGGAGCAGAGAGGAAGGAGGGGTAGATTACAAAGGGGCATGAGAAAATCACAGGGATTTCTGGGTATATTTATTAACTAGGGTGATAATTTCATAGGTATACACACGTGAAAACTTAGCAAATGGTATGTGCAGTTTATTGTATGGCAATTATACCTCAATAAAGCTGCTAAAAAGATATGTTTATAAAAGTTGCAAGTGTCTCTGGGTCTGTAGGTCAGACTTCTAACACAATCTGTGCATACGTTCCAAAACCTGAATTTAGTCATATCGACTACATGTGCATCTCTCAAGGATTCAGTTGTTACCTTCATTAAATGTACCTAAAGTGAGTATGCCTATTTGTGCTTATAATAAAATATATAACTAATTTTAAATGTTCATATATTATCAATAACTATTAAATCTGTAAATACTATAGCGTACATCAGGAGGTGTCTGGTCGCTCATGCTGTTGCTTTTTGTTTTTGCGGTGCTGGGATGGAAAGCCTCAGCATGTGCTCTACCGCGGAGTTACTCCCTTAGTCCACACTGTGCTTTATGTTTTTCTGTCACCTGAGCAGTAGTTGCCCCCCAAAACATGGAGTCCCAAGAAGCTCCAGTGGCCCCTATCATTGATGTCACTGAACCACAGGAGGAAAGAGAAAAGAGGGAAATGTAAAGGAAGAAGGCCAGGACAAAGAAGAAAGGAGGCCAAGAGCCCGGGATAGCCAGGTACACTTATCCTAGTGACTAGTTTATTCCATGTTTTCTATGGGTAAGTGTTTTACACATGTTATCATAGTTTATCCTTAAGGCTCTCAGAGGCAAGTACCACATTTAAATCACTTAAAAAATAAGGAGACTGAGATCTGATAGAAAATTCAAATAACTTGCCTTAGGTTAGAAACCACAACACCTGGCAGGATTTTTCCAACTGTATTGGTTTCATATTGTTGCTCTAAGTAACTAATACTGGTTTAGTGGCTTAGAAAAACACACATTTATTATCTCACAGATCTAGTGGTCAGAAGCCCAAACGGGATCTTATGGAGCTAAAATCCAGGTGTCAGCACAGTGTTCCTTTTGGGAGCTCAGGGAAGAACCCAATTTTGCATTGTTCAAGATTTGACAAGCTTCCAGAATTCTTTGGCTTACAACCACAGCACTTGAGGTTCTACTTTTGTCATCATGTGGCCCTCTCATCCCCTTGATCCTATTTTCTCACCCTTGTGATTACACAGGGTCCATCTGAAAAATCCAAGACAATCTCTCTGTCTCAGATGTTTAATTTAATCACATGGTCCCTTTGCCCATGGAAGGTAAAATAGTCACAGGTCCTGGAGATTAGGACACGGGAGCGGGCATGAAGGGATGAAAAGAAATCTACCCTTACCCTCTGAGAATTCACTGAAATGAATTGAAAATAAATTAACAGGAGAAAAGGCATGCAAATTTATTTAATGTGGAAATGTGTATTTTTACATATAAAATATAAAAAGCCAAAAAAAAAAAAAAAAAGCCAGGTGGTTGAAGCTTAAAAACTCTCCTCATTGAGCCAAAATAAACCTTTCCTCCAAAACCAAAACAAAACCAAAAACCTCTCTTCATGGGTAAGGAGATGTGGAAGAAGGGTGTGGGTAATTTGAGAGGGGAAGTAAATAATTTTTAGGAGAAATGAATGAGCCCAAAGAGCAGATAATGGGCTGGGACAAAGTTCCTTTGAGTTCTGGGAAAATGAACAACTTACTTACAGGAGGTGAGGAATGGAACTTCACTATCAGCCCAGGGTGGCTTATGCAGATCGGGTATCCCAGGGAACTCCAAGCCTGTCTTCAGAAGAATAGATGACCAGTCTGACTGGGCTGGTGGTAACTTTCAGTTTCTCCCTTCCTTCTTCAGGACTTGTTCTTTCCTCCTTACTTGAGATTCCTAAGGAGGTTTACAGCAGTTCCTTTCTTTTTTTTGGAAGATGATTCATTCACCAGATAAGGAAACTTCAGAGCCCCTCCCTGTGGTTGAGGAATGGGGGACAAGAGAGGGTTGGAAGTTAGAAAATCCTCTGGGTAGAAACAAATCCTAAGCCTTCAAATTGCATTACACCTGAAAGCACTTCACTTGCAAAAGCATCATACTTGGGGTGTCATTTTCTAAGTGCTTATCAAACAAGACTGGGTCTGCCCACCATAGAGTCTGGTAATCACAGAATGGAGTTCTGCAGAAGTGTCTGTGTAGAAGTCAGCCAAATTTAAGGACAAGAGCCCCACATGTCAAATCTGCGTCCCCAAGAACATGATTTAGGGACATTAATGAGATAAACAGGGTGGTCTGTAGGAAAAGGTGAGTGGAAGTGAAGCAAAGTGAGCCAAATGGTGACTTGTGCACTTATAATCAAACTTCATGGCTCTTCACAGGATCACTTCAGGAAATGGTGGCATTGGCGGCTCTGGACCTTTGGAATTACATCTCTAGGGTACCAAATATCTATAGCCCCCTGCCCTTAGTGTTAGAGATCTGGAGCTCCAAGCCATCCCAACAACTCCACAGCAGCCAAGGCTAACCCCAGATAGCTATCCAGAGGTCCAAATGCTACTCGTCCCTGGTCAATGTGAGTGTCTGAAACTCCTAAAGGCTGGCATAGGGTTTATATCTCTTTCTTTTTTTTTTTTAGCAACCCACTCAGCCTACACTACCTAGAATAATAATCTCAAATAGGTTTACAGACCTTTAGAAGCCCATATTACCAGAGACACACAAGCAGGACCACAGGAGTGAGGCTTGACTTAACAGGGTCAGAGTTCCTGCAACAAAGGTAAATCAAGGCATCAGAGAGAGGTCTCCTAAACTACCCTGAGAACTGAGAGGGGATTGGTGTTATAGAGAATAGCAACAGGCTTGTGATGGATCCAAAGTTGAGCCTGCTGTTTGGTCTGAATTCAGGCCTGCTGATTGGTCTGAATTGGTCCAAATTCAAGTTTTCTGCAGCCAAAACTGTATCTTCCAGGAGCAGCTGTGGGGCATCTGGAAGAACCTCAGCTATAGCTATCAATCAGAGCATGCTGCCTCTGGCTATCAGAGAGAAAAGGGAACAGCCCAGCACTTCTGGTAAATCTTACTGTGAAGGTACAGATTTTGGTCCTCTCATGTGAAAAGGTGGTCTACTGGACACTTGTGCTGAACCAAGAGGGAAGAATTGGTGGTTTCAGCCAGTTTGAACTACCTATAAGTTTCTGAAAAACACTTAGGCGACCAGGACCATCATGACCCTTAGGAGAGAAAATATAATCCATACCAAAGCTAACGGGAAAATACTGCTTAGCTAGATGACCTGGTGATGAAAGAAAATAACTAAAAGCAATTGGGACTAGGGATATAACTCAGTGGCACAAGCACCTGCCTGGCAAGCACAAGGTCGTGAGTTCGATTCCTGGTACCAAAAAAGAAAAATAAAAGCAAGCGAGGCTAGAGGGTTTGTTGAGATTTTCCCTCAGTTTATTCTACTTACTACACCAACCCTGGTTTATAAGACTATTTCAATTTCTGATCAGTTCCCAACCCATCTTCTCACTCCCTTCCCCAGTTTGAAGTACAGCCAGACCTTGTGACCTTCAATGGTCCAGCTGTGTCTTCTCCCTCACTTCTTCCAAGTGGTTACCTTCTGCTAAAATTCCTCCCTCCTGTCACTAATACTTGTTGAAATCCTAACTGTCTCTAAATGCCAGCTCCAGTGCCAGCTCTAAATCTTTGAAGTCTCTCCTAATCTCTAGCTAAAGGTTCTCTCTGAAACCTGGAGCCTCCGTGGCATTTGGGTGTTACATACGGCTTTGTGCTAGGTTGTTGGTATAAACTCTCTGTTATGGCTTGTATCTAGATGTCCTCCAAAAGCCTCATGCACTCACAGGTGAGGTTTTTTGGAGGTGGCTAGATCATGGGTATGTGTGTGGATTAAAGGTGTGTGATAACTAAACTAGTCCACTAATTGCTCTAGCATATTTCTGGGTATGAGTATGGGAAGGCACTCCCTGGGTGTGGGTGGTTTGTAGCCTGAATGGAATAAAAAGGGTAAGGGAGGCTCAATCCTGTTGCTTGCTGCTTCCTGCCTGCTAAGTTATGAACTGTTTCTCTTTTGCCATGCCCCTCTGCCATGCTGCCTTGCCTTGAAACCAGCTGACTATGGAAAGAAACCTCTACAAATTGTGAGCTAAAAGAAACCTTACCTCCTTTAACTTGTGGGTGTCAAGTATTTTCTCTCAGCAACAAAAAAGTAATTAAGACACTCTCAAAACTGGAGTCAGTTGCATTCACCTGGGTAGCCCCACAGTACAACAACACAGAGCCTCCCCACAGGAGGCTCAGTTACTGTTTATTCAGCATCCAGTTTGATCAACAGATGGACACAGCTAGGGCCAAGTAATCATCCTCTGCCCCTTAGTTCTGTGATGCACTGGTCCTCCCTAGAGCACCTCCAGCCCAGGACCTGACATGTCTCACTGCTGAGGCTGCTAGCCCTTGCCCCAGAGTGGTATTGACTCACTGACGCCAGCAGCCAGGCTCAGAATATTTTCTCAGAATTGCCTTAACTTGGAGCTTGAGCTGCATTGAATGGATGATGCAAGTGAGGGCGAATGGAGAATTCAAGGCAGAAAATAGGCAGCACCATTCAGAGCCAAAGGGGTTTACTCCCTGCATCTCTATGCCTGAACAAAAGAGGGCAAGGGTGCTCAGTGTGGGCATGTGTTGTCTCTGACTGATTTAGGCTTCTAGGTGAGCCCTTTCCTGACATTTTCAGCTTGGTGAGTGCCTTTGCATCTGGGGCCATCAGCCCTCCAGAATATGTCCCTGGATATTCACCTGCCATTGTGCAAAACCACTGGGATCAGGGTGAGCAATGACACCACGCAGAGCTAACACCTTTATTTTACCTGCAAGGAACCCAGTCATTTGTGACACCACTATTTCCATCAACCAACATTTGTTGACATGGACAAAAGGCAATACACAGAAGCAGACAAGTGTGTGCATGTGCGTGTGTGCGTATGCATGTGTGTGTGTGTGTCCCCATAGGTTGTAGCACATTTGGGGTTGGCAATGAGGGACCTCAGCATTCACTGAAGCAAATCTGGGTTTCCACTTGTTGTTCATTACATCCATTGTTTTGCTTACTACCTCCTCAGTGGACAAAAGGCTTGCACAGGCCAGAGATTTACCCTTTAAATTAAGCTATAAGGCAATGAATCTTAAAAATACTTTAACAGTTCCTCCAAAGGCTGTGTGAGTATTGGGAGCCAAGGAGTTGGGACTGTTCTAGCCAAGTATTTCATGTTTATCTAAGTGATGAGCTATCCATCCTCTACACTGAGTAGAGAAGGGATACAAGTGAGGAAAAGGGAAAGGAAAATTAGCCTTCTAATATAACTTTCCACCTTCCTCTTAGTCAGATTCACACACATGTAAATTTCTCTCCTCAGTCACCCTCCGTCTAATAGAACTTTATAAATATATGCTGATAGCAAACAAAGATGGGTTTTGGCTTCTCAAGTATTTAGGACTGCATATAACACTGTATCCTTCTCTTTAGCTATGTGACAACAACCCTTGCCTTGTGGGACTGCAATGTTGACCATACTAAACCACAGAACAAGACCACAAGGCTGGGCAGGTGATGCCCTAAACAGATAGAGGGGGCATCATTCACACTGTATTCATGCCCAGTTGGACATCTACCATGACAGTTTCCCAACAGATGGCAGTGATGTGTCTTGAAGGAGGAGCCTTTGTTTTTAATTTGTACCCGGCACCATCCAAGCTAGGAGCAGTGTAGCACTATCCAGAGTGTTGGGTGCACCTGTGTGGTCTGTGGTTCTTTTCTTTAGAGAAAGGATGCTGGAAATACAAAAAGGGCAAGAGAGCCAGACCATCTCAAACTGTGTCCATGTGACCTGTCTATTGTGCTAGCTTTGGTTCACGATAGACAAGCAACCTCCACTTAGAGCTCAGACTACACGGTGTGGAGCGAGGAGTGGGGAGTGAATGTCTTTCTCTGGGCGGGGTCTCCAGAACCCAGTGTAGTGCCTGGCACAGAAAGAGTGCACAGCACACATTACTGAGGAGATGAATGAATGAATTCTCATCGAGCCCCCATAGAGCACAGGAGTGTGTGCTCCCCTGTCATCAAGTGTGTGCTCCCTCAGTCCTCAGAGAGAGACGGGGAAAGTGATGCCCAGAGACTTCTGTGAGGAATGGCAGCATGAACTACAAAAATGAATTCGCTTAAAGATCTCTCACCAGGAAGCAGCCCCTAGAGAGCCCCTTTCTGAGGGAGCAAATCTCTTCCTTAATCACCACGTGCTGCGGCTCGCTGTTATCGCTAGCTCAGTCTCGCTGTCTGTCCCACCTCTCAGCAAAGCCTATTTACTAGGCCCATTTGCAAGTCTAAAACATAATCACTGGCTTCCTCCTTGGAATATTAATATGTTCCAGTAGGACTTCCCAAAGCCAGGCTGGAGCCCCACGCTGGATTACCTGGGCACAGTCCTGCTTCTCTCCTTCCACACTCATGCTGCTCAGCATGAGAAAGCCACAGATAAGGCAGAAATGGAAATCAGCCAAGGACCTGGGCTAAGGCAGAGACACCTTGCTGGGAAGAAGCAAGGGCAGACTGGCATTGGAAGAGTCTGGGCTTAGAGAAAAAGACTGGGTACCTGGGCCAGCTCTCAGGTACAGGGGGCTTCAGCAGAGCTGCTTCCTTCCACCCCTGTCTGTTCTGCTTCACATGATGTCTGCTCACAATGTCCACAGCTTTGCTGGCAGGTCTGAAACCCAGGAGCTCCCCTGGCTTAATGGACAGTCTGGTTCACAGTGGGATTTAACGAACACTCAGTGAACAGAACAGATCCAAGCAAATGACTAAGGCAGAGCCCAATTCATTGTTTTGTCCTAGAGCAGCCTACTGAGCAGCTGCTATATGGCAGGCACTGAGCTGGGTGCTGGGAGTATAGGAAAACACAAAACAAACATGGTTCCTGCCCTCCTGGAGTTCACAGTCAGGTGGAAAATGATGCAAAACCTAATGCAAAAGGATTCCTAGAGGAAGTGACAATTAAACTGATTTGAAGGAGGGGTAGGAGATAGCAGGCAGAGGAAGCAGCATGTGCAAAGGCCCAAAGGCTGAATCCTGTGGCATCCTAGGGAGGAGCAGTTATGGGACTACTGTTGTCCCAGAAGCTGTTTCCAGAAGCTGGAGCCACCCTGCTGTGGGACACCGTGCTCCCCTGTTGCACAGGGCAGGAGCCAGCTCTCTCCAGGATGGCGCTCAAGTGGGAGAATAAATAGTCCCACTCACAGCAGCAGTAGCTAGCAGGGCCTTCCACTGAGGGCCATTCTGCCCTTTGCCCTGTTCCTGCATCTCTTCTCTACTCAAAGTTTCCCTTATGGACAAAAGGAAGAGGCAGAGGGGAGCAGCCGTGGAGATGGACATATTCTCTTCTTACGAGAGTCTTTGTTGCTGTTATTTCCACCTTCCTCTGCGCCTGGAGAGCTCCCGCGGAGTGGTTCGGGCTGCTCAGTGCTGTGGAGACAATTGTGCTATCAAAGGGAGAGGATTATGGCTCCAGTGGAGAGGGAGGAGCAGGAGCACCCGCTGAGCAAGCCAGAGACTGACAGGACAAGATGACAAGTCACTTAGGCCCTGGGTTGAGAACTCTGTGGCAGGCTGTGAGATGCAGAGACAGGTCTTGTCACTTCTGAAGGATTGTTGGTGTCATCAGAAACACATTGTATTTAACGAGGAGCCTCCTCCCTGAAG